GTCTCGTCTATATGTATCGTGTACAATTCGTGCGCGTTATCTTCGCAAGCGTCTTCTACGGTTACGAGGGGTGTGTGTATCTCGACCGGCTCATCAGTTGTATTAATTACACTGATGGGACATTGGTAATTCTTCGGTTCTACCAAACATCGTCCGATATAGATTCCTGGGGCGGTTTCTTTGGCTCGAATGATCCCTGTCTTATTATCATTTGTTATCGCGTGTATAATTGTTTCACTACGCGGCTTTAAGATAATTTTGTTGTACGGTTGCAATTTTAGGACGGCGTTTCCGATTTGTAATTCGCGTTTTTTGTAATCGCACGTGACTTGCTGCTTCTGGAGGAAGTCGATTCCTATGATCCCGTCATATTCCATTGGGAAATCATCTTTCACGACGTAAATCGCGTGTTTTATCTTGTTTCCGTTTAGCTCAATTGTCGCGTATATTTTTCCGATCGTTTTTGCTTTATGACCGGTTATTCCAACGAGGGTTATTTTATTATTGTAAATTTCGGTCTCGCCCTTCAAGTGTTTCACTTTTATCAATGAAATCGTAGCTCCCGAATCGTAAAGCATATTTACTCTTCCGCGTTTTGCTTCTCGCATAGGCAGAGTAATTATATTTAAACTCGCTCTTTCTCTCGGCGTTCGGCGCACGTGTGTCACCTGATATTCGAGCGCGCGAGTCTTCTTAATCTTATCTCCGCGCTCTCCGTCTTCATCGCTGCTACGTTCGGACTCGGAATTTCTCTCCTGCCGGATTCTTTGATTATCTATTTTATTAATACTTCGCGGTTTTTTTCGATCCTCTGGCTTGTTCCGTGGGGGCGTATTATTTTTCGGTCGTCCGTTTAATTCCCAACATTCTTCGCGGTTATGTCCACGTTTTTGCAATGGTTGCAAAATTTTTCGATGGCGGATACGCGCGAGGATTTTTCCGGTTTCGGCAGAACGTTGATTGTGCTACGACAGTCTCGTCCGTAATGTCCGGGTTTTCCACATCTATAACATTGTCCCGTCGTTCGCTGTCCTGACCGCGTTGATTCAGGCTTATTTAGCGAGGAATTAGTTGCCCGTGACGTGCTAGGTCCGATAAATCTCTCTTCCGCGCTCGCGCCGGCTATCGCTTCTTGAAGCGTCGTATATCGTTGTGAGCGTACGAGTACCTTTAAGTCGCTTCGTAGCCCTAATTGAAAATTTAATAATGCTTGGGTTTGGATCGTTTGTAAGATAGTGCGTTTCTCTGAGCTCGTTTGGTTTTCTCCCTCTATCATTGAATCGTATAAATTCATAGCGAGCTGGTCGACGCGTTGCCCGAAATTTTGTGCTGTCTCATTATATTTCTGCTTTAGCGAATTAAATTCTAATTGCAAGTGGGCAGTACTTTGCTTGCATTGGTATGCGATCTCTAGTTGTTGCTTTAATTCTTCAAACGTTTGTATGTCTCGCGTTTCGAAGACTTGCATGGCTTTACCTTTAATTTAGTAAATAGTATGCCCTGTATCAGAGACTCTTCGTCTCCGGGATGTATGTTTTGCATTGTATATGTGCATGCGTTTAGAAATTCCTGAAGGCGGTGTCGCGATGTACCGTCGAATTCGGGTATCATCATTCGCGCTTCTTTTAGAGACATATATTGTCGTGCAGTACTCCGTCGATTTCGTACGTCGCGCTCAGTCCGTCCGTAAGTCATACGAGGCTCGTAATCGGACTCCCGCTGTTCGTCTGTGTGTGTGTATGCCTGTGCGGCTTCTATCCTATTCATACGTGTGTTTAGTGTATGTAGCTCTGCATGTATCGCTTGTATTATATTAAGCATTTGTGAAGTTTCTCCGGGCGCTACGACGGAGGGTTGTTGTGACGTGACGTCTAAATTCTGTCCCATTTGTGCAAGGGTTTGTCGGAGTATGCTTATTTCGGCATCTATCGCGGTTGGCGGAATAGTTGCGTTCGCGTTTGTATTTTCTGCCATATTTATTTCGCTATAAATTTCTTCGGGATCGAATATTTCGCTGTCGTATGACGTTAATGAAAATTCTCTTCGCGAAGATACTCTACTCGGAGTTCGGCTGATATACGGTCGCAATCGACGCGGTTCGTTTTGAGTTACTTGAACGGAGTCGCTTGGATTTTTTGCGAATATACTCGCGTCAAAACTAGTAAACGGAAATTCTCGTTCGTTTATTACGTTCGGAGGTAACTCGGTATTATTTTCGTTTGTCAAGTCGCTGTCTAAATTTCTACGAACGCTTTCGAGATTTTGCGCAGTTAAAGGCAATACTCGCGTCGTTAACCGTACAGGTGTACTATGCAACCACGATTGGTTTTTAATCGCTTGTCGGGGTGTTTCGTCACCTTCCGACATTCACGCTATCAAATAAATTCGGACTTACAGTATTACGGCTCGCATCGTTACGCTCTATACGGGTCGGCTGCTGCTGCTGCAACTCGATCGCTCGTGGGCTGATAACGGCGGCTCCGTGTTGGTGATAGATACGGCGGGTCGTCGCTCGTGTTGATGCGCTGCCCGTGAGGTTGTCGTAGGTCGGCGTTGTCCTTGGACGTCGGCGATCCTTTTCGATTCTCTGCTGCTTATCACTCGTTGCACTGTTTATGTTGTCCGCTCTCTCGTTCTCTCCTAGTCGTGGCTTCTGCTTATTTCCGTCAGAGTTACTGACGTGCCCGTCTAACACTTGTTATAATTGTATGTGTTTTTACAGGTCTTCGCCGCTGTGAAGATTTTAGAGACGACGTCGGCCCTGCGGCTGAGATCCCACCGCTGCCACCAAATTGTTGTGCCTCCGGGAAGGCACGGAAAATTTTGGGGTCTCAGTCGACTGAAGGATGAGGATCCTAGGATCGGCGGGCGTCTCCACTTTGATTAACTTCGCTTGTGTATTTGAATAAATCTTTTATTTCGCTTATTTCTTGAGTTGGATTAATTATGTATAATCCCACCTGGGTGATTAGTTAGGTGTGCTCGCTCTCGATAATCGGATTACAGGTGATAGTTATATTCTGCGGCTTGTCTTCGACTCCTAGTTAGGTTCTAGTTAGCGACTCGACCTTTTGGATTTTCGTTAGCGACTGACTTCGTCGCCTCGCTTTCCGTTCGCGGTGGTCTCCTGCCCTTTTCTACATCTTTCGGGGGAAGATGTAGAGAAGCTCTTTCATTGGCTAATTTTTATTCACACGCTTTTATCTAGGTGCAAGCGAAGCAGGTTGATTCTTCGCTTGCGATCCGCGGGTTTCGGCGTAACGCTTATATTTCATCGCGTTTGCGTCTTTTCGCGATAAGCGCTTCGCGAGAGCGTGAGAACGTTTCTCAAATGATTGTATAATAGCTGACTTACTAATTTATTATTAAAACTATATTAATATAATATAATATAATATAGTTATAGTCATTCGGATTATAACAATATTATAAAATAAAGTAATAAAGTATGCGTAATTATAACATCGAGAGTGCTGTGCAAAGTGCCAAGCAATTATCAAATTCTAATGATCAATTCACGATTGAATACCACAGGATTCTTTTGAGAAAACAAGAGATGAATGATAGCATGAGAAAAAACGCCGGAAGCAATCGAGAATCGACGATCATATAAAGTAAGCAGTTTATAATTTTAATTTATAGTCTTTATTTAGTTTCGTGATAATGATTTAATTTACATTATATGTGTAATATATAATGCGTAAAATATGGATCTTATTTTGAGAAAAATATTTAAAATATTTCATAGAATATTTTATAACTAATTATTACATATATATTGTAAAAATTTTTTCCAATTTTTAATTTCTGACAGAAACAAAACAGCTTTAAATTTTCGGAAAACATCTCTATCGTTCTTCTTTTTTTTTATCTCGACATAATGTCTTATTGTTAATGTAGATCGACAATGGTACTTTAATAAAGTTTTACGCGGAAGAGTAGAAATAATAGAATTTGCATCAAGAGAAAAGATTTTTAACCAAATAAATATATATTTTTTTAACTTTTTTTAGAAGAAATTGTTGGTTTTATTTAAGCAAAAATTTCTACCTTTATATAAGTAAATATATGGCTGCATTGAGAATATTATTTTATATCTTTACATTTTGTAAGTTTAAATAATTTTCGTTAAATATTGAATATACTATTTGTTAATTAAAATCATATTATTTTTAAGTAAAAATCTTAATGTAAAAATTGTTTTTCAAATAAAAAGGACATTTTAGTAAATATAAAATTAAATTGAAAAATATTTAGTTAAAATTCTCGTACATTCTTTACAATATACTTATTATATGCATATACTATACATGCTATATTCATAATTTAGTATCAATTTTTATTAATTTTTTTACTGCCAGAAAATTTCTGGCCTACTTTCTAATTTAAATTATTTGCAAAACATACAATAAAAGAAAACGAGAATAATACTTAAAAAAAAAGAAAATTAAATCTTCAGCGCGCTAATTTTTAAAAGGAACAAAAATAAGCGATTAGGAATAAAGATTTAGGAACAGTTGCATGCAAAACTCTTTATTTAAATACCAGCGTCATTTAATACTAATAATGTTGTTAAATTAACAAGAAATTTATTTTATAAAGTTGAATTCAGGGCATTTTCACTGCCAAAAGTTGTATTACGGAAGATTGAAAAATTGCAAATAAAGTTAAAAAACTGTTGACAAAGTGAAAAATAATATTTTAACAGTAAATATATTGTTAGCTACTCATTTATATTAGTTATCACTGGATTTACTACACGTAAAGTGTAAATATGCAAGTATTCCGGATTTAGAGCACTTTTGTCAACGATTGTACCTCAGATACATTCTTAACGTCACACGGCGCGAGGGCTCTCGCTGGCGAGAGATATGACGTCACGCGGGACGGGGATTAGTGTGTCCAGAGGTGGCAGATTCTGAATGTAACAGACTCTACATACTTTTAACTAGTAGAGGGAAAAGGAGAGAATGGATTGATAGCGGCCGAACAATAGATAAGATTCTTAAAACTTGCGACTGGTTACCAATCCATCCCCTACCAACTCCTCTATACTGGCTATAAATTAAGTTGTTACGTTCAGAATCTCTAGTTCGTTGCCATCCTTAGACAAGTTCCTCAGACGTTCTATTAAGCGTTCTTTTGCGTTATTGTATATTAAGTTTTCTTCCAAAATACAAATGTGTAATTACGGTTGTTTCAGCACAATCATCAAAGACTGGCTTATTTACATATCAAAAAAAAATCTAGCAGCATAAGTGACAGCTAACTAAATTTATCTTTGTCGATCTTTGCCAAAAGAGAGAAGGAGAAGAAGAAAACATCCAAAATCTGTACAACCTGTGATCATAACGTCTGTGAAATAAATAAAGTTAAGATGGGCACTAAAAATTGCGATGTTCTGGGGCCCACGTTTTGGCAGGAAGTCACCCAAAAATATTATCTGAGATGCCTTTACTAGCACTTCGCGAGGAGATGAAACATTATTCATGGCGGGTTGATCTAATGGAGTCAATACTGAAGACTCATGTAACGATATTAGCATTTCCGGTAAGTTTTTATATTGTATTAAGGATCAGTTTTTAAATTAATCGATCACACAAACTAGCCGAAATTATTGCTTATTAATTAGAAGTTACAACGTTTCGACCATATATGGTTGCGTGGTCCTTTTCAAGTATAAAAATTCTTTGATGAAACAATCTTAATAACTCTGAAATCAACTCAACAAAAATTCGAGTTAACAAATTCAATAGCATATATAAAGTCACAGTTATAAAAAGAGAGAACGTCCTGTCAGTATGAACTTCGTCAAAAACTCCATTATTATTCAATTTTAATAAATTTTTTAATTTTCAGAACATCACACAGGAATCCGTCCGGATTAAAGGATTTTTAAATATGAGACAAGTGGAAAAAATACGCAACGAACGTTGGTGCAACCGACAAGAAATGAAAGAAATGTGGGGCGAAGTCAAAGATTACGACGAAAAAGATGACTGGAACGGTATATACGATCACTGGTGGGACGACATCTTCTGCCTCCGGAGATTGTTCGGAGATGAACAATATCCTCCCGAGCCAGTCAAAGAGCCATTATGGGTCTAGTAAGTATTCCTTTTTAATTAAATAATTAAAATATCGTAATAAATTGATAATAATTTTTTTCTGTTGTGCAGGAGTTCAGTGTACCGGCAGCACCTCCTCCTTCACCATCGCTGCGGAGCCCTGCAGCTCCAGTCGTCCGGTCGTCGCCACCCCGCAGCCGCCACCACATCTACCGTGCATATTTAACCATTTTAATCATTTTTATATTTTTAATCATTTTAATACTTTTCCTTAACATTATATTTTTAAAATATTTTATATATTTATTCTTTTAAATTTTTATATTATTTAACACATTACACACACACACACTCACAATTGTATATATATTACACATAATGAAAAATAATACAAAATCACCTAATCTATAACAATGTTCAAGCTCGTATGTAAACATAATGATAACTTACTAAATATTACGAGGCCATGTAAAACGAGCAATAAAAAATTATTTTAAACTTGGAAAAATTTTAATTTAAAGAAAACCAATTACAATACAAACTTTAATATTCTTAATTACAAACGTTTCGAACTATGGTATACTTAGTCTTCTTCAGTGCGCAATAAAACAATAATAATAAAAATTCTAATAAAAAGTCGCAATACAATAGTCAAAATAAATTAGATAATTATATCAAAATTAAAAGGCGAGATACGTTAACAATAAATTGAAATTATTAAAAATAGTTCAACACGAAAAGTCCCAATTAGAAGCAAAAATCGAATTAAAATAATTCATTCGGCTAATCAATAAATATTTTCAAATTATATAATGCAAAATAAAATTCGGCTCGTATGCAATTAAAATATGTGATAAATTAGAAGGTCAACTCGACGAGCTATAAGATATCAATTACAATTTTTATTATTATACGTCATATTATAATGTTACAACTGATAAACGTTTCGACTGTACGACAGTCTTTTTCAATATCATTGTTGCTATGTTAATATGTCAAAGAATTAAATCATTTAGTAAAACCGAACTTATTATACATATAACATCTATAGGATTATATTATGAACAACGCAGTAAAAATTCATGCTTGTTGGCTTGAGTTAAAGCGCCTAATCTCAAACTTCAGATTTCTATAGTTCATACTGTTATAATTTGTAGAAACGCTGTGAAACAATTAATATGTTAGCCCGAATATTAAGTATTAGATTTTTAATAAATAGTGTTAACTTACATCTGTGTCGCAACTTTAACACTTCTTTAAAATCTTTCTTTTAAATAACATTATCACTATGTGTACTTTTTAAGAAGCAATCAATATCTGTAACTCGCAATGTCAGCGCGCTGTATATATATCCGCATCTTAAGATGACATAGACAATTTTTCTAAAATATCAAAATAAGAACCGTCAAGACGCTCAGTGTCTTTTTTTAAGTTGATACTGTTTTTTTCTTCTTTAATGTATATCATTTCCGATATCAACCTTTTATAATAATTCTTTTCGTTATCTAGGATTTTTGTATCGTTCCAATTAAAAGTATGTGTAAAATTTACAATATGCTCAGAAACCACTGAGTGTCTTGCCGAATCCAATCTGATATTGTTTTTATGTTCATTTACTCTTGTGCCTAATTGTCTTTTCGTTTGTCCCACATATGTAGCATCACAATCATTACACGATATTTTATATATGACACCGGAATTATTATGACGATCATCTCTGTCTTTCTGTGTTTTTATGACTCTATTTAATTTTTTCAAACTTCTGTATCTTACTGTTATATTAGATTTCCTTATCTGTGAAAATAGGATGTGATAAAAGTATTGATCGGTCTACTAGATTATATATTACACTTTTTTTATGGCACATAGGATGATTTGAATAATATGAGAGTGTTCTACCTGAAAATGTTTTTTTCTGAAACCAGTCAATGTGAATTACGTTATTTATGATTTTGAGTGAAATGTCTAAAAACTTATGCAACGGTTGTCCTCTCGTTCTATTGTAAATTTTATTCTATCGTGACATTCATTAAATTTTTTCAATACATATGAGACCTGATCATCCGGCATACAAACTAGAATGTCATCTACATAGCGATAGTAAAATCTTACATTTACATTAATTATATCTATTGTAGTATCCTAGTTTCTAAATCTTGCATGACAATATCCGCTATGATTGGAGACAGAGGCGATCCCATAGGGGTTCCATGTATTTGTTTATAAATAGTATCATTGAATGCAAACTACATTGAATTTAAAATAAATTTAATTATATTGACAAATTCGTTTTTGTTAATTGGTGTGTTTTTCGATATAATGCCACCTGTTATTTATGCTGTCTATTGCAAGGTCCAATGGTACATTCGTGAACAACGATATTACATCCAATGATACGATTGTTTCATTGTTGTTTAATTTAAGATCAGACAATGCGTTACACAATTCAAAACTATTATTCACATGACTATTCGCTATGGGAAGACTTGTCACTAAGATATTGTGTAAATGTGCAGCTAAATGATGTAATGCTGTATTAACTGACAAAACTATTACTCTAAATGGAACATTTTCTTTGTGTATTTTGGGCAAGCCGTATGCTTTGGGAAGCTGTGAATCACTAAATCTTAAAAAATAATCTTTTTTTGTAATCCAATCATTTTTTAACCATTGTTTTAAATTCTTGTTTAAATCTTTTTCTATTTTTGCTATTGGATTGTTTTTGACTATCGCGTAATTATATTTGTCATGTAATAATTCCTCAACTTTATCTACATAAAATTCTCTGGCCATTGCTACGGTCGTGTTACCCTTGTCTGCTCTTGTGAATATAATATTTGGATTTTGTTTACAAAATTTCGTAGTTTTTTTATACATAAAAGTGAGTTTGTCATTTATCATGTTTGTCTTAGTGTTATTATTTAAAAAAACAAAGAACTGTGGAATGGCGATATTTCTTATTGTCGTGAGATTAATTATGTTGTTCGAATTACTTTCTATGTCTTTAATGAATTCATGGACTGCTGTTTTTTTGTCCGTGTTAATTGGAAGACTAAATTCACTGCCTAATTGTAGTAAATTTGTGACGTCCGTTGGTATATCTAAATCCGTCAAATTAACGAACCAATTATTATTAGTCTGTTCTAGTGGATTGATGTTTCTATTGATAAATTTTGTTGCACTAATATAGTTGTTAATATATTTATTGCTTTGCGAGTCTACTATGTTATTAAGAGAGCAAGAGAAATCAATGGGTTTGATGTTTTTATAATATTCAGATTCTTTTTGTTGCAATAACCAACAGAACTTTTTCTTGTGTGTGTATAATGTAAGCTAAGAATTTGTTTTTTAAATAATCTACTGTGGCAGTTATAAATTTCTTGCCATACATGGAATGAGATGTTATTATTTAATCTATGTGAATATTTCCTTATGTTTTTGTTAAAATGCTCTATTTGTCTGTACAAGTCAAATATCTCTATGTTTAGTATTTCAAGTCTAAATTTATGTAACGCACTGTCAAACCTTTTTTTTGATTTGTGATAGTGATATACATGATTTTTTGATAGTGATATACATTAATATTAGTATTGTCCGATAGATGCTTAGGTAAATTCTGAATGTCCTGCATTGTTTTAAATAATTATTTTTGAAATAGTTCTTATTTTTCCATAATTGGCATCTAGCCAAGATTTTAAATCATCAAAACTTTGTTGTCCATAATTATGTTGTACGAACTTAAAATTAAACTGGTGGAACTCAAATTGTGTATGTTTGTTACGCATTGTAAGGCCAGCGTGAATTAAATATATATAATACAATATAAACTTCGGCTCGTATAAAATTAAAATATGTAATAAATTATAAGGCCAACTTAACGAGCTAATAAGATGTTAATTAAATTTTTTTATTATATGTCATAAAATAATATTACAAATGATAAACGTTTCGGCTGTACGACAGTCTTTTTCAATATCATTATCGCTATGTTAATAAGTCAAAGAATTAAATCGTTTGGTAAGACCGAACATATTATAAATATAAAATCTATCGGCTTATAATGTAAAAAACGCAGTAACAAATTTCCTGCTTGTTGACTTGAGATAAATCGCCTACTCTTGAACATCAGATTTCTGTAGTTCATGATGTTATAGTATGTAATATGCTGTGAAACAATTGATGTGTCAGCCCGAATATTAAATATTAGAATTTAAAAAAAATAGTGATTACTTACGTCTGTGTCGAGACGATAAAATATTTCTTTTTAAATAACATTGTCACAATGTGTACTTTTTGCGAAGCTAATCAATATCTGTAAATCGCAATGTCAGAGCGCTGTATATATACCTCTATGCTATGATGACATATAGACAATTTTTCTAAAATATCAAAATAAGAACCGTCAAGACTGATATTCGAGAGTAGGCGATTTATCTCAAGTCAACAAGCAGGAAATTTGTTACTGCGTTTTTCACATTATAAGCCGATAGATTTTATATTTATAATATGTTCGGTCTTACCAAACGATTTAATTCTTTGACTATATATATATATATACAATATATATATAACAGACTATTATAATCTATTTTCTTGTTACGCAATCATTCTATTATTTTTTCATAAGAATATAATTGTTAATTTTATAATATTTTAGAAAAAATAATAGGATGATTGCGTAACAAGACATCTTTATAGATTCTTTTTAGATTTAGACATCTTTATAGATTCTTTTTAGATATTTTTTAGTCATCTTTAAGATTAATTAAAGGTCTTAATTTTAGGTAAGCGTTATATGGTCTTATTATGTTTACTTAATATTCAAATAATAAAAATATATTTTTTTAAATTTATTCAAATTTATTTTTTTAATTATAAATGTCACAATCGAAGTTCAAAAGAAAATAATACTCGCGTTTTTTACATATTTAAAACGCTTCCAAAATGGCACCGCGCCGTGACTGCGCTAGCTGATTGTTGTCATATAACATATCGACGCACACATAAAAATAAATAAAATAACATTTATATAAGCACTCGTTCGTTCGCTTTTCTATTAAACTTACACTTACAATTTAAGTAAAAACAAAAACGAGACAGCTGTTTATTGTTAGGGGACAAGGGAATTTCGTACAATTTCATCTCTTATCATTCTATCAGTATACATATATAGTAATAATGGGTGAATGAAAAAATGAGCTCTCTTAAATACTTAAAAACTCGCGCCTTCCTTAGACGATAAAATTATTGCATAATAATAAACATTTATTAATTAGGATTAGGATGCTTTTAAAAAGCACATTTTTTTGATAGATCTAGAAAGAATAAAATAAAAAATCGAAAAAAATAAGCAAACAATCAACGAGAAAGCGGACGAGTTTTTTTTTACTCAAAAGATTTTCATTCACATATCGCGATACTATTTAAGCGTTTCATCTTGAAAGATATTATCAGTCTTTTTTCACGCGTTATTCATATCTCTCGTAATCTGTTCAACAATAAACAACTGTCTCAGAATTGAATCTCGTATCACAGAGCAGTTCGTATTCTGCCACAAAGGGTTTCTCATCGGATGACTTTGCCGCGAATCTGCTCGGGCCTTTATGTATGGTAATGTCTCAAAATCTCATACTCTCCCGTCCGACGTTCTTTTTTCTTCTCTTCTTTTCTACATAGCTCGCTCTCTTAATGTAAAGTATAAAAAACTATTTACACAGGTGCACTTCTGTTGCGCTCTTATATGTCAACTAACAAGTAACAACGGTACATTAGTTATCTTCATCAGCCACCATTCATGAAATACAATTATTTTGTTGTTTTTTTAACTAATATCTGTCTCCTGCTCTTCGTAACCACTCAGAAAATTTATTTTTTAAAATGTAAAAATTTGTTGAACTGTATATGTTTGAAATAGTGCCTGAAAAAAATTTTTATTATCAAATATATTTTAAAAATCAATTTTTATATTTAACAAATTTGATTTTATACAATCACCTATAATAACATTTGCAAAATCCGAGTTTTTTATTCCCTCTGTCTGACGTTGACCTTCCCATGTTAAACGTGTGGCAAGTTTATTTGTCAGAGTTGTAACCAAACAATTGACCAGATGACTTTCTGCTGATTTCCCACCTATACTACGTATCTTCTTTTGCTATAACATTTTGAATAAAAAATATTAGTTTTAAATATGTATTCTCCTCCTTATCTTAATAAAAATAATTTTAAATTAATTTAACTTGTGCTTTAACAAATGCTTAAACTTACAAATTGCTTTCGTAACTCTTCGTTTTCATGTAAATCATTACAAAACTTTTTAAATTTTCGCATAGAATTTAACGGAAGCTCGGGTAATAAATCCAAAGAGCAATTCGTTAATAACAAAGGAGTTTGCTCATCAAGAATTCCTAGGATTGAATCCAATTTTCGATTTATAACCGACATTGAATCTAATTTTCGATTCATAGCCAAGACTGTATCCAATGTTCGCATTATAGATCCTTGCGTATCTTTTCCTAAAAAAACAATTAAATAACGTTAAAAAATAAAATAACAGTTAAACAATTAAATATGAAGAAAGCTATATACAAAATACTGACCTCTGTTTGTGGTTATTTCTTTTTCATTAATAATAATCGTCTCTGAACAATTTTGCATACTGTTGCATACTGTAGCAACTTTATTTTTGCACTGTTGCATTTGTGGCGCAGAATAACTTTTTTCTATTTAAAACAAAAGAAAAATATTTGTTAAAAATTTGATATGTAAATTGATGGTACAAATTGTATAAATAATCTATAACGACTAAATTCATGAGTCGTTCCTTTTTTTATTTTAACATATGTACGGGCGGATTATAATCAACTGAAAAACAAAAAGAATATTAAAAACAAATACATGAAATATAAAATTAATACCCTTGTTACATACTGTGCTTTACGACAGGAGACTGCTTTTCTTCCACATTAAAAGTTTTGATTTTTTTAATCTGTTTCAATGAATATTTCTTTGAATATTTTTCTTTCTGAATATCATCTATATTAACGCAATATACGTTTTAATTAATTTGTAAGTAATCAAAATATTAATTGCAAATAACTTTTACCTTGAAAACTTTCTTCGGTTTGTGATAAATAATCACCGTATTCCAGCGGTTGTGATTCGTTTATATCAAAGGGTGATAAACATTGGTCTTGTTCAAATTGTGTATGTGTATCTAGTGTATCTAGAAAAAGATTAAAAACATTTATATTACTATAAAATTATATTTTCCGACATATAATTTAGCAGTGAGAAAAGTTCATAATATATTTAAATGTAAATATATACAAAATATTTGAATACTTATATAAATGTGGATATAGTATAAATATATATATTGTGTATGTATATGTACATATTAAAGTTCTATTTATAATTATATATAAAAAGAATTTACCTTTTTCTCTGATATCTACATCTGAATGAGAAGTTTTATAATTAGATGAAGGATTCGGAACAATGTTCTCTACAAATATTAAAAATTTACCAAATATTAAATTTGAAAAAAATATACATGTATAATAATAATGTATGAAAAAATTGCTTACTTTGTTTTAATGTCGATTTATCGTTAAAATCTTTTTCTAAACTTATCGGGATGCTCTTACATTTTTTTTCTACAAAAAATATAGTATAATTAGTATAATTAAAAACGTAAAGTTAAAAAGAATAAAGAATTAAAAAAAGTCTAATAATTTAATTGAAATGCAAAGTAACATATACCAGAAATGGAGTCAGTGTCAGCCGATTCTGTGTTATCAGTAAAACTATCATAAATTTTAGGTATCCTTGTTCTTTTTACAGGAAGAATATTTTCTTTATTTTGAAGATCATTAATTTTTGCTTCATCCGATGACACCAATTCTGCTTCTTTTTCTTTTTGTTTTGCCTCTTCAAATAAATCTACAAAAATGATGAAGAACACAATAGAAAATATAATTATAAATTATTAAAAAATTATTTAATTTATATATTGTTATTCTTACCATATGGTCCTAAGAGATATTTGTACGGGACTTTCTCCCACGAAGCTTGTGGAGGTAACGACTTTTTCATTGCTTTTGTCGCATTCACACCATGTGATAGCCACACACATAATTGCTCGTTAATATCAATAATCCATGATTGTGGCATAACTGAGCACCAGTTATCAGCAATCGCTACATAAAACATCTATATAAAAAAAGAAAATTTTAAATTACAATAGTATAACAAATTATAAGAACAAATTCTTATGTTGCCATCAATTTATATACCTGATAAATCGGAATGAAGAAGCGGAAAAACACCAAATTGGTTCCTTCCATATGGAAGCACTACAGCTTTTCTAATAATTTCGTTCACAGAAAAACATTTTAGTTCAGTAAAATCGTTAGTTACTACAAATACATTCATGTCTTGCGAATTGCATGGATAAAATTCGAGAGAAGAATAATTTATAAATTCTTTACCAATTATAACAGGATTCCCTTTTCGTAGTCCTATGTAATTTATCATCAAAACTTTATTATTTTTTACTGATTCCGTCCGATAAGAAAATACCAACAATATAGTAGGCTCAAATAAAAAAAATAATTTCATGCGTATTTCAAAAATTTACAAATTAAAATGTTATATAGATACACATAAAATATTAATAAACATTTACATAAAAATAAAAATATGTTATGAAGTCAATTTATCACGGCAAACAGATCACAAAATATAAAAATCAAAATTTTAAAAGATTACTTATAAAGGTTCATCGTCATTGTAAAGTACGCGCTTGCATTTTACAATGCCGAACTTCATGCAATTCATATTTTTGTATAAATATTTCGATTATTGTAACAAGCATGCAAGTATGCAAAAATATTAAAATGCACGATGCACTTAAGACTGAATAAGCTTCAATACTTACACAAAACGTGTAGTCGAACTAAACTTTATATATAGTTTTATGTAAACTATACTTACATATAAACAATTTAACATTTTTATATATTCTTTTTAATTAAAATAATGTGAAAAAAACAAGAAAAGTTATAAGATTCTAAAGTATAACAAATATTATAAAAAGGACAAGAAAAAAGTTAGTAAAAGTAAAGCGTTGTATAAACAAGGCGTAATCTAAATAAGTTTTTATTAATATTAAGTTAATACAAACTTTATTATAATTAAGTGTGTTTGAATCGAGCAACATTTTGTAAGTGTTGTGTGTTCTTTTACTTTAATTTTGTTTAGTGTATATATATATACCAGTAAACACAATCTAACAGTGACATATAATATCAATGTTATGATTTTTCACTCAAGAATATAATTAAATGTAACATGTGCCTTCTATATGTAACAGTTTATATCATTGATTTGCCGTTTCGCATACGAAAAATTTGTAAAACCTTACAATTAATTCGGAAATTAGCTCATTTTTAGCGATAAACGGTATTCCGTTAGATTTAATTGGATCGGTAGAAACAAAAATAAAATTAGAAGAATTTTCAAATATCCCGACAAACATTAAATTATATGTTTTAAACGGTGACTTGTTCTCTACGAATCTAGTAATAGGACGCGATTTTCTCATCGATAATAAAATCGAACTTATATACAAACCGTTCTTAAACGAATGAAACAAAAGATAAACTGCAACTTTTCCGAGAAGTATCGATTGATAATATGGAGGCTCATCTGATAATTTAGAAGATATTCTCGTTAATATGGAAATCGATTTTGATGACTCAATTAAAAAACAACTAGTTTCTACTATTAAAAACATAGAAAATACACAAATTGATAGAATCCACGACGATTACTTCGTTAAAGTTTCACTTAAAAACGATTCCATTTACAATTATAGATCCAGACTTTTTGCAAATTTTGAAAGACAGCAAATCCGAAAATTAACTGACGATCTTTTAGCTAGAGGAATAATCAAAGAAAGTAACTCGCCTTACTGTGCTCGAATCGTCTTAGTTAAAAAGAAAAACGGGTCATTTCGTCTTTGCATAGATCTTTGTCCCCTGAATGAACGAGTAGTGAGACAAAATTATTGTTTTCCATATATTGAAAACTGTTTATCCCGCCTCAGGGGGAAAAAGATTTTTACGTTATACTTGACTTCAAAGACGGGTTCCACAATATTAAATTACATCCAGAATCTACTCAATATTTGAATTTTAGGCGCTCTGCGGCACGCAGTGTAGCTTACGTAAATTTGAATTTGGAACAAAAAAAATCACTTAATCTACATGATTTTAGCTAGAAAAATACGTAGGGGAATTTAGAAATATTGTTTTTTAGCTTCAGTAGCTAACAGAATATTAACATGACAGGTGAAAATTTCACGTTTCCGTTTCGGAGTAATGTAATTGCGGAATAAGAATAACATTTAAAAAGGACCGCCACAATGTTGGTCGAAACGTAGTGTTCATTTACTTTTAATAAAAAAATTAGCCTGTTTTTGGTCAAAGTAATTTGTCTCAGTATTATTTTTAAATTGTCACTGGCGATTAACATTTATTTATGAATATTGTATTTTGTGTGATAGGCGAATATTTGAATAATTTTGTTCAATTTTCGACCAAAAACGGAACAATTATTTGTTAATAAATAATTTTTAAATCAACTTATCGAAAATTTCTTACATATTTCTCTTCGAAATGTTTTTTTGAAGATATGATGAAAAATTCGAATGAAAAGTATGAAAATTGTTCGAGTTATGCTGCGTGCCAATTTCAAAAATCGTATTTCGAGAAAAACGCGTTGATAGTTTTGAAATGTTATAGACATGAAAAAATGAAGAATTCTACTTTTAAAAAATTTTATCATTAATCTGCAATCCCAGGACCATAAAGCTGCCCTTCTACGTTGGAATATTCCTCCTCAATCTCTTTCCTCGACAACAACAAATAAGTCATTAGGCAGGTAGTTGTTTTGAAGCAGCCCGGCGCGCTCAGTAAAGAGCTCGCAATTTCAAGGAAAAATTTTTTAATGTATTAAATTTTTTTCCCCATATTCTCCAAGGTTCAAAGGATTTTTTAAGCAAAAAACATTATCGATTATTTGAAAATTTTACAGTGGTGTTACCCCTTAATTTTAATATTATTAGGATATTATTTAACTGTGTTGTTTAAAATTATAATAGCCTTGCGAGAATGCTAAAGCAAGGTCACGAATATATTCGCCGCCGAGTTGTTATTCCGCGTATTTTCGATTCCGAGCGCGAGAAGTTGACAAAAACGCGCCTTTGTCTCGAGCCTTTAAGCCTCGCTAGCGAATCATGTTTTGGCACGCGCGTGCCACGCGTCCAAGCGAAGGATCGATCGGCTGCCGTTGCCGTCGATCCTGCGTATTTTAAAGAGAGGTCGGCCCGAAGAGCTCGGTGGAGAACGATCATCTCAAGAGCTCGTTCGAGTTTTTCGCGAGCAAAGCCTAGTAGCGAATCAAGTTTACTTTCACTTTAATTATTTTGAATAAAGTCACTCATTTAACAAACCACGAGTAATTTATCCAGATCATATCCTTCCTAATCCGTACAAACAATCGAACCAATAATCAAATAAATCGAGAGGAATCAAGTGGAGATTGTGGCTTTTAATCAAATAAATGTTTTCCGTTCTGTGAGAAAAAAAATTAATCGAAGGTTTCTGCACAGAATTGAATGTGTAGTAGAAATAATAACGAGAGCGATGATCGAGCGAGAAAGAAATGTGAAAGTCGAAGAGAATAATAAGCGAACAATACGTGTTTACGCGAGACGTAGGAAAACGAGAGCCTGCGAGAAGGTAAGGGAAAAAGTCCTAAGTACGGACAACGAAAATGGGGAGTCTTTCTCGAGCCATCGCCGAAGTAAGATTGACTAAGAATATTGAACTACGAAATATATTATTGGACTCATTAAAATCTGATCTTTCTTGCTCCTTTTAGTCATCCTTTATCACTTTATTCTTACAACTGCGTCCCAAGTTTTTTAACTAAAATTTTTTATTTTTTACTAGTTCATCATACGACTATATAGATTTGCAATTTGAATTTTCCATTGGTACAAGTGTCTATTTATACTTGGCGCAATTTTTTTCTTTTTTAATATCATTACTTTTGTAGTACGATTCTACATGGGTTTGCAATGGTTAAATCATAGGATTCTACATGGGTTTGCAATGCGTAAATTTTCACTACTGGTAAGCCCATACTAGGCACCTTTTTTATTTTTTTACAGATAAGTTTTTAGAGTTTTTCTGTCCGAATTCAGAGACCGAGTTCGTACTCTTCCTACAACCTCCATAGATTGTTTATTGCGCTTTAAAAGAAACAAAATGTAAAACTTTAATCAATAGCCCATATACATAAGTGTGAGTCCTTTACTATACTTGAATATGAAAGAAAAAAGTTAAATTAAAACTTACTTGATAAGAAATAGTCTGGAAAATCATAAGAATAAGGCCACTTTGCCTTATAAAACCGATGAGACCATAATCGATGAACGCCAGCAGTGGATCCTATATTTGAAAATATACCAACAGCGAAGACTGTAAATTTACAAATAATCATATTAAACATAAAATAAGCACGAAAGCCGAATGTTGGCACATTAGTTTCGATGAAATTAAAATCATCGATGGTGTGCTCAAGGCACTTTTTCGTTGATATGATACCACGAAAATAACTCTCAAATTGAGAATTGAACATTTTGATCAATTTACTTTTGAGAAATTTATCAAATTATTAATCTCCTATATTAATATGTATATATCATATGAAATTCTTATAAAGTTTATTAATTCAAAATAAACGTTTGCTAATAATTTACTATATTATTTCTATTAATGTGTGTAGTTATAAATATATTATGGAATAATAGGTTAAATAAATGAAATACGTACACCAGATGAAAGTCCACAGTTTAATAGGAAAAAAGAAGGTTAAATATATGGAATATATTCAACCATCTTTATCCTATTAAACCATAAAGTAAAATAAATATATATGGCAATAATAACATTTGCCCAAATAATTTGCCATTCAATCTTATGTGGTTTTTTCCAGTACTTCATCATTTACAATCTTTTCAAATTTCATTATAAAATTTTTTAAATGTAATTGGATGTTAAACTATAAAAAAATATATATTTACAATTTGTAATAATAAAGTATAAACTATATTGTATACATATGTTACACAATATGAGTATTATGCACTTATAATAAGAACCCAGACAGCAAAACATATGCATTCTGTACTCATATTGTATTCATATTCTTACAAACATGATGACAAAAATCGACAGAGATGCAGGCTCATATGCTATTCAAAACACGGTTATATTTATCTTTAAAATTTTGCAAAAAATGTCAATATGAGTACATAAATAATGCTCAAATTAATATTTGAGCTCACATTTTTCATCAAATGTATGTAACTTGTGCTTATGATACCTATCATTATAATATGATTACAAGATATACAACACATTTAAATCAAAACCAGAAGATCATGACAATGCAATCTGATAATTAGGCATTGCTATCCAGGAATATAAAATATTATAATTTTGTCACATAATTTTACTGCCATTAATAATTCTGCAGTTATTATTTCATTTCTTTTCAAGATTATGCAATGCCCATTTAATACAATATATAAAAAAGTACACGTATTTTTTTATACGTGCCCAATCGAAGATTTGGGGGGTGATTCACCCTTATGAAAAAATAAATTTTTTCTTTTTCAAGGGAATAATATCATCTAAACAAAAAGAAATATAAAAAAATGTTTGAAACAAAAGTAACTCGGGTTTTTATGCACTTTATGCCTGTGCACTTCCAATTTTAAAAAATTAAAATTTTTTCGAAATCTTTCTCCGTCCAAGTATGAAAATTTATATATTTTTTAAACCACGACCTACACTTCATTCCTCTCAGCCGTAGAGCCACACGCGATGTTATTGCGATACTTAAAAAAGAAAGAAAATTTGGAAACTAAAGAATTTGTATCCTATGTTTGGGATCTCAGAAATTCCCCTTGTTCCTCTCCCAACTTCCCCTATAAAGAAATAGGCGAGAAAAATATTGGTCCGAAAATCGGCTGAATCGGGAATCTGCTCCCGATTCTGATTTCAGATTCGGATTCAGCGACTTCAAAAACCAATATATTAAAAAGATCGAACAGTTCAAAAATATAGTTTCACAAGGTGTTTCATGCGCAATGGCAACGAGCGCGGCAATATAGAGATTATTTACCCCCCAAATATTTATATATATAAAAAAAAAATACATGTTCCTTAATTAGCTTTTCTTTTGAAGTTTTAATAGATTTCACTTCGATTAGATTTAAACTGATTTTTTGCAGCAAAAAATTGGTCACTTTAGGGGTAGTTAGCCCCCTAATTTTCACTCCCCCTCCAACATACCTAGGCCGATTTTGATCTTCTATCAAAAGATACTTTCATACCAAAAATCATTAAGATCGCTTCACTGATCTCAAAGATATCGCAATTTTTCCATTTTACCCCCTATTTTGGGGAGGTCGTTTCACCGCCTAAATATGTTTTTTCACCGCTAAAAAAAATACGTGTCCCTTAGTTTTTCATGTATTATAACATATCCAAATTTCAGAAAAATCGGAGAGTGACACTTCCGTAGGTTTACTTGTAAGAGTTATTTGTCATGTTTCAGTGCGCGAAATTTTAACTCCATAATTTGTCAAATATAATTGTTCTTTCCCTTTAAAAACTATTATAGCCTCGACATTTTTTGCATTTAATTTTTGTCTTGAAATGTTTTAAGGAATCTGCTATTAAGGGAAAGTACAGTAGTTTTATGACATCCTAATAATACTTCCAAATAATAATATTTTCTATCAAAATTCGATAGCGTATTTGACCTGTACACGCGCAATTTGCTGTTATTCATTGCGAAAGATAAAGGCGTTTGCTGCCGATAAAGGGGTTGAAAACGAGCAATTGATATAACATAACGAGAGATATTTTATAAATTAATCAACTTACCTCTCTCTTTTAAACTTTCACAGTTGATTTGAGATGTTAAAATTAATAACGAATTATTTCTCTTGCTAGAATAATAAACGTATAGCAAATATAAATAGAAAAATATAGTTCTTTCTCGCAAACGTACGTTTACTTTTTTTAATTGATAGTTTCGCCGTCGCTTAACTAACTTCACTGTCTACAAATTCAAATGAATTGTAGAGATTAACAAACGTTTTATGACAACGAGCGACGACAATAAAAGTACTGTGAGAATGCATCATGCGGTGAGAATTAAATATTATTGGCAGTATTTAAAGACAGGAAATGAGAAAGAACAAAAGAAAGAGAATATTAATGTTTCCGCAGTATAAAATTATTTGATGAATGGCGAATATATTTCTGCGAAATATTCACGAGTCTAATGATTAAGTTTAAAAGATGTAAAAAAAACTGTGAAGTCACCAGATGATAATTAAAAAATGGTAGTAATTTAATCAACCAACTCTGGCAATTTAAGTGATCTTTATTCAATATTTACGATGTTTCGGCCATGAGTTTCGGTCCTTATCAAGTGCTATAATATATAATAATGACAATTATTAGAAAATTAAAAATTAAAAAGTAACAAAGTAACTATAATAAATATTTCCACACATTAATATGTAAACCTACCTAAAACACAACTTTTTATAAAAAACCTTAATTTTTGATCTTAGAATGTGACAAGATATAATAAAACGATAATGTGAAACATTGTGTCGGTTTCAAGCTCTTTATATACTCATTACTTTGATCAAACTAAACGACCTTTATTAGTTTTCTGTAAACAATATTTAGATTATCCGTGTCTTTTTGTAAATTGATTGTGTTGTCAAATTTTTTGATAAAAAACATCTCCGCTATTTCTCGTTTTCGTACATATTTCTCATGATGTAAAATTTCAGGAGCGGACCAATCAAAATCATGACCATTATCCAATTTATGATTACTGATGACTGAATAATTACTATTGTGTACCTTAATGTTATTAAAATGTTTTTTTATACGTGTGCCTAATTGTCGTTTAGTCTGACCGATGTATAATGAGGAATAATTTGCACAGTTAATTTTGTTTACTACTCCTGTTTTTTCTTTTAAAGGTAAAGGATCTTTGACACGTTTAATTAGTGTATTCAATTTTTTCGGTATACAATAAACGCTTTGCATGCCCATAGATTGTAATAATCTCGCAACGTCTTCACTTAGTTCTTTAACGTACGGTAATTTTATGATGCGGTCAAATTTTTCACTAACTACAATAAATTATCGTTGTCAACATTGCGATCGTCGTTATTTCGTGTCTCAAGCAATTTTAGCCTATTTTTTACAAACTTATTAACCACATTCGACGGAAAACCATTGTTCATTAGTATCGATTTTACTTTAGCGATGTTTACTTGATGAAAACTGTCGTCCGATAATAAAATCCGATAATACATCTTTTATTATCACTCCTGGACCTAATTATGGAGTTTGTCCCAAACGTTGGTTTTTTTCGTATAATTTCCACACGGTATGACAACTACTACACGACCCTCTTAAAATCATGGATTAACACAAAGAAGAGGATTGTTAATTGTAACCAGCAGCTTATATTTTTACTACGATGCAGGACACATGACATTCTACCACCACACATCGATAATTTGAGAAACGGAATAAGTTTATATAGCGGCAACATTTGTCGAAGCTTTGAGTGTAATTTTAAACATTATAAATGTAAATTATTGAGACTCGAGATAAAGGACATTAACGTTCACTTGAAATATTTATATAAAAAAATAGCATATATCGAGCGTAGACTTTCTGACTCTTTACCTCGATAGTTACTCACGAATTTTACAGAACTTAATAGGGAGAGAATTTTGGTTTTTAAAAATATAACAAAAAACAAATTAATCAACAAATTCAATGCATTGCTACGTAAAAATAATGTAGTCGTGAATCCTTTTATTAATATTGACAAATCTAAATGGATTGTTAATCTCAGTAATAAAGTAATACCGGATAATGTATTTGACTTATTAAGCCTTGGTGATAGTTTCGGTTTACCAATACAACAAAATGTTAAGAGGGATCGTGTTAATACCGTACTTGAGATGGTTAAAAGTCTAGAGGTGAGTATTGACAGGATTCCTTCTAACTTACGTGAAACAACTAGGATTTCGGTAGCTATTTCTATCCGGAATTTTTTAATCACACAAAAGCATACTAATTTTATAGATAAATATATTCTCAGATGTTTCTCTGAGTCAAAAAAATTTCTAAAGGATAACGGATAAAGGATAAAAATCTACAACTGGAGTTGGCGAAAACGAAGGAGGCGCTTATGCAGTCCGAGAAAAGGGTAGAAAAAAAAATTGTCAACATTTATTAATCATAAAATTAAACAAAAAGATATATACATGTAATTATACATACATACATTTTCAAGTAAAGTACTAAAATTTTATTTATTTCCATTTCAGCTAATTTTTATTTTATTTCACTTTATGTGTTTTGAAAAAAATATACATAAACAATAAAACTGCTACATTAATGCTACTGAAAAATAGTACAATTAATTAATATTTTTAATTAATAATTTCAATGTATCCAATATTGTTTATAATGTATTCCGAGATTAATTTTAGCTTAGCTAATTTATAAACTGATGTGACACTTTTTATTCATCACTCTTGTGAGCCTTTCGTTTATTCCGTAATTACATTGATTATTGTTTACTTAATTATTTATTATATATTTTATTTTACTGATTATCACCAGTGGCAGCGATTATTTTTCAGCTTTCTCTATGTGTAGTCGGCAAACATAAGAATAAGCGCTTCGAATTTGACGCTTAATGATGACGTAGTCAGGCTGCAATTCTCATTGGTTAGCTGGCGTTACCATGCGCAAGAGCATACCTTGTCCAGAGCTGGCAGATTCTGAATGTAACAGACTCTACATACTTTTAACTAGTAGAGGAAAAAGGAGGGAATGGATTGATAGCGGCCGAACAAATAAGATTCCTAATACTTGCAACTGGTTACCAATCCATCCCCTACCAACTCGATCCTCTATACTGGCTATAGATTAAGTTGTTACGTTCAGAATCTCTAGTTCGTTGCCATCCTTAGACAAGTTCCTCAGACGTTCTATTAAGCGTTCTTTTGCGTTATTGTATATTAAGTTTTCTTCCAAAATACGAACGTGTAATTACGGTTGTTTTAGCACAATCATCAAAGACTGACTTATTTACATATCAAAAAAAAATCTAGCAGCATAAGTAACAGCTAACTAAACTTATCTTTGTCGATCTTTGCCAAAAGAGAGAAGAAGAAGAAGAAAACATCCAAAATCTGTACAACCTGTGATCATAACGTCTGTGAAGTAAATAAAGTTAAGATAGGCACTAAAAATTGCGATGTTCTAGGGCCCACGTTTTGGCAGGGCGTCACCCAAAAAATATTATCTGAGATGCTTTTACTAGCACTCCGCGAGGAGATGAAACATTATTCATGGCGGGTTGATCTAATGGAGTCAATACTGAAGACTCATGTAACGATATTAGCATTTCCGGTAATGTCCTCTCTCTCCCTCTCTCTCTCTCTCCGTTTCACACATACACACGTATAAATTTTTAAATATTTTTCAGTTACTTTTTTAAACCACGTAATCTTGAAATAAAAATTATTTCAAGCAGTTACATAGTTTTTAAAAGTAATTAAAAAAATAAAATACATATATGTATCGTAAAAAATCATAAAATTATAAAAGCATATGATTTTACAAGAATATATATGAAATAGGTATATTTGTTTTTTTAATGAAAAAGATTTGAAAATTACATGTTTACAAAAAAATTACATGTACTTCTACATTAAATAATAAATTTCTAGAAGTATTGGCTTCCAAAGTATTTCTTCTGCTAAAAAATTCAGTTTGATCACCATTTAGGCAATATATAGTTTCTCAACTTTTTTAGTTGATACTAAAAGTAATCGATCTATGATGGTTATTGCTTCCCCTAAAGACACAAAAGACAAGCATCATATATAATTATAAAAAGTTAAAAAAAACTAGAAGACTCAAAACCTGTGTGTGTGTGTGTGTGTGTGTGTGTGTGTGTGTTATGTTTAATTATATTATTAAGTTTTAGTTTCTTTTTTTCTTGATATTATTTTCTTAAATATTTTAACAAAATAAATACATAAGTAATAATACTTACTTTCAAATGCGGGCCAGTAGTCGCCTAAATGTGCTTTAGTTAAAACTTTTGTACGTTGTTCATTCTTTATACACGATAATCACGCATAACGCATGATACGCACGGACTCGCACAAAGCTCATTATTGTTCGCCGCCAAGATGGCGCGTATATAGCTCGAAAGTAAATGACAATAATTTTCTAATAAATATACATTCTGCAAGAATCTTGCATATCCTTTTACTTTAAAAGGATATTCATGTTACTATAGTGAAATTTCTTATAGAGGAATTTATTCTTAATCATAGCTCACGCATCCTTTTGTTTACAGATAGATATCTATGTATTTAAGAGAGACATACTTTCTGTAAGATTTTCTGCTTAACGGAACTGCTAAGAGGAATTCCCCGCTTGCGAGTAGAATATTTTTTTTGGGTGAAGGATCAGTTTTTAAATTAATCGACCAAACTAGCCGAAATTATTGCTTATTAATTAGAAATTACAATGTTTCGACCATATATGGTTGCGTGGTCCTTTTCAAGTATAAAAATTCTTTGATGAAACAATCTTAATAACTCTGAAATCAACTCAACAAAAATTCGAGTTAACAAATTCAATAACATATATAAAGTCACAGTTATATATAAAAAGAGAGAACGTCCTGTCAGTATGAACTTCGTCAAAAACTCTATTATTATTCAATTTTAATAATTTATTAATTTTCAGAACATCACACAGGAATTCGTCCGGATTGAAGGATTTTTAAATATGAGACTAGTGGAAAAAATACGCAACAAACGTTGGTACAACCGACAAGAAATGAAAGAAATGTGAGGCGAAGTCAAAGATTACGACGAAAAAGATGACTGGAACAGTATATACGATCACTGGTGGGACGACATCTTCTGCCTCCGGAGATTGTTCGGAGATGAACAATATTCTCCCGAGCCAGTCTGTTCGAAAATCGAACGTTTAAAAACCTGAAAAAGAAAAAGCATTAAACCATTGCATGCAAAGTCATTCAGTATCCTCATTCCACATGCAGCG